GTCAGCTTGGACATCTCTAGTTAAACCACCTGTAAACCAAACTATAGTGGTAAAAGTATCCAGTCAAGATGAGGTAAACTTAGCATCTGGGATGGCCGGCAGGTCTGTTCTCTGCCAGACACCATGTTAGGTGTTTTATCAATATTACTCTAATTTTTAAGAGCATCTTATGTAGGATTATTTCTCTTTTGCAGATGTAAACATGGAAGCTTAACAAGGTTGGGTAGCTTGTTCATGTCACATAACTACCAGATATTAAGAAAATTCAAACAAAGGTGCCAGAGAGAGAAGTCTTTTAGTTATCTATTTTAGACTTAGACAAGTTATTTTCAATTTCGAATGTGGTTTGATCTTGATTATTAAAAAGATTTTAGATTTTCAATGATACAAATCCAAAATAATAACAACAACACTATCTGGTAATAATACAGTCTCCTATCAATTTTTCTTATGCCACACTCACCTTGCCCCCTATCCGGACCTGAGCCTGAAGTTTGGCTAACTTTTCTTGATTCATGCTGTGGTAAATCTAGGGGGGGAAAAATAGATTTGTTAAAGTCACTGTTTTACCAAAATAAAATAACTGTTTATGCAACAGTACCTTCTGGTTCACTGAGCTTGCAATATTCATTACCACTATGATCATATTAATACTCTCTATATTCTTAATAAATATTAATAACTTTTTTGAGCTTCATGAACCATATATTAAAGGAACCAAAATTAAATCATACCACAAAAGAGTTGAATATACAAACAGAAAACAGAATAGGATTCTAAGTTAACTATTTGAAGATCCCTCCTTTAAAAGCGTGATTCAGTACTTTGGCATTCGGTAAAACCTAATCAGTTGTAAAATCTCTGTAGGCAAGCCAGTTTTTCCCTCAACGGTTTTTACAGCAGAGAGCTGTTACCAAATGTTATCAGCACAACCTTTAGATATTTTTTTCCCAAATCATATTCTGTATTCCTTATAAACCATAAATAGAAGACTGAAAAAAAAAAAAACCCAACTAGACAAAGAAAAATTCAACAATAGGCTGTGTAGCTGTCCAGATATGAGGTAGCTGTGTCCTCTATTCAAGGTCAGATGATATGTTAATAACAGGGAAAGAGAACCAGATTTTTAGATGTTCAGTGCTTCTGTAGCATTTCCCACTGAGTTCATCAGATACCTTGCACTGATACAGTATGTCATGCTTGTCAAGATATTCTTGCATTCAGGGTATAATGCCTCACTGCACAATCTGACAAAAGCATATCTCTGCCACATTACTACTAAATTTTTTTTTGGAGGGGGGAGGAGGTGAAGAGACTCTTAAGTATAAGCTCTTTAAGGCTAAAATTAATTTTGAAAATTCTAAGAACATTATAAAGTCAGGAATCCTAGTATGGACAGTGATATTTGTACAAAGGAAAAAAAAGTTCTTAAGTTTATTATGGGCCATAACATTCCACACTATATAAACAAAAGCCAATGTTAAAGTACTGTTTTACTTTCTGTGGATCAACAGATCATTATTGAGATGTGAGAGATGGAATATAGAAGTACAAGGCTGTTATCAAACCCCTTTGGCCAATTCTCTAACTTCTTCATAATCATTAAGATAAAAAAGATTGTTTTCATTTGTGAAATAAAAGAGAACCAAAGATTGTATTAGTACAAGACATCCTGTATTCTGACTCTCTGCTTACGTTAACTTGTGTATCTCTCTGTTTTAAGGCCAAATAAATCCCAGTTCTCAAATAACATTTATTTTTACATTAATTCAGTATTTATTTATAGTCTTCATTTTCCTAGTTGTGCAGCTTAATCAAATAACATTTAGAACTTATGATTCCTTAAATCTTGCTCAGCACTGTATCACAATGCTCAAGCAGCTAAAAACACACTTTCATTGAAGGAAGTATGATTCGAGTACAAAACCAGAGAAGTCTTCAGTGTGTGTCAACCTCAACTTGTAGACTTATGTGTGCTGATGTAAATCCCAATATCTATACGCAGTATCCACAGAAAAAGACCAATATTCACTTTTCTCAAAGGAATTGGCCATGAAGATGTAGTGAACTAACAAAGAGCCTAAGGACTTTTTTACAAAAAAAGGGGCACAGGGAAAATATTAGAACTAGACATAGGGTAAACCTTTTGGGACTCTTAGGCATTTTGAAGTGACAATCCCCAGGAAGAGATGGAAGAGAAGGAACAGAAGTCAAGATAAAGAATCCTGACTTGTCTGAAACAAAAGCAACAAAATTATTTATATCAGGAAAACAGAGAACTTGTTCCCAGGCAGCTATCTCAGAAAAAAAGCATTTTAGGGAGGTTAGAAGCTCAAGAAGTTAGGGAAGAAAGAAGGGTGGTCCTTTGTCTATTAGCAGGTGGGGGTATATGGAATTCAAGTAGGAAAGAGGATTGGACTTTGTCTATGAGAAATGTCAGGCTCAGAAAGAATCTGGACTAAACTTCCAAGATCATCTGGTTTACTTCCCTATTCCTCAATCAACTTGTAATTCTTGTATGTGAGTCCATCTCAAATACTTTTAGGCAGCCAGGAAGGTAAGAATATGGATAACATACAGTTCACCTCCCTCTCAATTTAACAGATTTGCAAATGAGGGCCCAGAAGGGAAAACTCACTTTCTAGTTTCAAAATAGAAAACTTCCTAAGGCTGTATGTTTAATGAGTTCTTTCTTGGGGATCCTAGAATCTTTTAGTCCTTTCCTCAAGGACTCAAAAAAAGGGTATAAACAATGAGGTTATACTCAGTATTTATTGAGTGCCTATGTTCCAAGCACTCAATAAGTAGGCACTTTCACATACATCATGTTTACAGAAATAAAAGAATTTCTACTTTTAGTCCCGACTTTTTTTTTATTATGTGGGGTTTCTTTAAGAGAGGCATGGGCTTTGGAATCAGAAGAATCAACGTTCTACCACTTCGGGTTTCTGAAAGGTATTTTACTTCTCTGAACGAATGTTCCTTCTGTACTAGAAAAGGTGTAACACCACACATGCCACAGATTTTTTTTTTTTTTAATGGTTAAAGGTGATCAATAGCATGGGGTATGGCTCACAGTAGATACGCAAAAACTAGTAACTACTGTTGTCAATCTTGAGGGAACAGCTATGGTATAATGATATAAAGAACGTGGTATAAGGAACGTGGGAAACGAAGTTGAGACCATCATTCCTAGCTGTGCAACACTGTGTCTATCGGTCAATCATCAGTTTCCTGACAGCTTATACTAAGCATCAAGCAGTGTGATGGGGCTATGCAGATGGGCAAGGCACTGTCTCAAGAGTGGGAGGCCGACTGAAAAAACAAATACTGCCATTAGGAGGTGAAGAGCGTTGCAACATAATTCGGTTCCAGAGGCTAGGGGCCCGGGGCCTGCTAACCTCAGTTACCCTATCTGTAGGGGAGGAACAAATGAGATGACAACAGACTGGCTGTGTATACAGCTCCAAGCTCACAGCACTGTTGTGAACAACAAGAGTAACAAGACAGAGGTAGGGAACCACCCGCCTCCTGGGGCTGGATCTGGGCGGCGAGAGCACGGGCCCGCTCGCCCCCACAGGGGGCGGTGGTGCTGGGGACCTTCCCTCAGGTGCCGACCCCCAGCTGCGCCGCCGGTGACCGACAGGCCAGGCTAGCCGCCTCCGCCCCCACTTCACGCGCCACGGCGGAAGTGGCAGCCCGAGAGGTTGGCGGGTGTCGAAAGAAGAGGGCGGGGGGAGACCGTGCGCAGAGGCCTATGGCCGTGGAGTGGCGGGACCGCCGGGGGTCTCACCTGAAGCAGGGAGGGTCCTCAAACACCAGCACGCGGCAAGAGCAAGATGGCTGCCTCAGTGGAGACAGAGAAAGACGACGGAGGCGGTGGCGGCGGGAGCAGAGTCCACGTGACACAGCGGCCCTCGCCAGAGCAACCTATCTGGGGAGAGCAAATACAAACTACAGGGCCCAGCCTGCTCTGCGCCTCCCAATAGAGGGGTGGCAAGTGCTGGTGACCGCGCTGCCTTCTGGAGCTTGCAGTCTCCCGAGCATTCTATTGTGTCAGTGTCTGCAATGTGTAGGGAGCCTAAAAAAGGGCGATGTGTGTTTTTCTTTGCGTGTGTACGTTGCCAGACGTTTTTTACTAGTCGTTAAGTGTGCACTGTCGAACTCAACTAGTCTCCACTCAGGAGAAGAGACGGGAACTTTGACCAATTATTCATCAGAGAGGAAAAACTGAAGAGAAATGCTCAATCCATAAAGTTTTAAAACAACAAAAAAAAGTAGATTTAACCAGAAGAAGCTCTGAAAGGGGTGTTAACACTTTAAATGCCTGAAGTAACCTTTTGTCCTGGTTCACTGGAGAGAGAGGTCAGTTTTGCAATAAGGTACCAAGTTTGGTTTTCCTCGGAGCTGGCACGAGTTAGTTGCATAATCCCTGACTGAAGCACTGAGGCAGCAAGGAAAATAAGGTCCAGCGCTTCTCCAGCAAGGGGTATTCTTGCAAACAAGGAAACCAGGTACTGCAGAACAGGTTTCCCAGGTCTCCCGGACACCTAAGCAAAAACCTAAGAATGAAATCCGGTCGTCTAGGTCTTTTATATTTGCGGCGGGGAAGTGATGGGGCCAAGGAACAATCCTTTTGGAGCGGCTGATTTCGGCGATCAATAATTTGCATCACGAGAAGACAAAAAAAGAAAAGAATTTGCATTGTGAATATTAAATGCAGCTGTCTTAGGGGGCGGGGCTAGCTCGTTGAAGGACGCTAAGCGAAACGGCTCTCTAAAGCCTCCTTCCCACCCCCACTACCCCCCCACTATCTGGGCCCACCTTTTCCCTCTAGGTGCTCCGGGGTGAACATCCAGAATCCGGAAGTGGGGGAGGGGGAAGCAACGTGCGCTGGAGAACTACACCCGTACCCTTTAACATGATGTGCACCTTTAAACTCATTCGGTCACAATTCGGACCCCGGAGGCACCACCCACATCCGTTTAACATCACTTCCTTCAGGGTTAGAAAAAAAAATCTGGGAACTCGGGGGGGTTGGATTGAGCTGCACTTGGAGACCGGCACAGCTCTTCTACTAGGAATCCAGCCCTGCGTCTGCTTAGTCCGGTGGCCCCTCTCACCACCATGGAGCTGCGGCCTGGTCTCGGGGCCACCTGTTTGCTGGGCTTCAGTTTCCTGCTCCTGGCCACCTCTTCTGATGGACATACTGGGCTTGGAAAGGGTCAGACCGCGTTCTTATCTTAATCTTTACTTATTCTGGGTCTCAGTCTAGTACAACCCTCTTCTCGTCTTAACACGACCCCTCACCCCCCTCCCGTTCTGTCTCTTGGGTCACACTAGATTCCTTTTTATCTTCTCCCACCACTCCTGAGTTTGAAGAAGATTTCTTAGGGTAGGGAGTAGCGGGTCTAGGGAGTGATATGATGGGGAAATTGTTCTTGGGTTGGGGTAAAGAATAGCCCTAGCCCATCATAATGCTTAGCGGTTTGTAGGTAGGTCTTAAGGGACCGCCACCTTTACGGCTAGGAGAAATAGGGCCTTTGGGGACCTGCATATCCAGAGAGACTTGCCTTGGGTCTGAAGATGCTCCAACTTACCCTCTTCCTTGAGTTAGGTTACTGCTTCCTCCTTGCCCTGCGGGGAACAGCACCTGCATTCCAGGAAGAGGTGATTGGTGCAAAAGGAAGGGCTTAAAAGAGGATAGGTCTAATGTTAGACCGGTCACCAACAGTTGTCCCTCCTGTGGTTCAGTCAGTGTCTCTGAAGAGAACGAATTGTTTTTGAGGACTGAGGGGACAGTGTTTATGCAGGGAAGATAAGAGATGTGACCGCCCTACTCCATCCCATTACTTACATCTTCTTTGGAAGCCAGGGTTTATGCTTTTTTAAGGGGGTGGGTGATAAAACTCACCCAACATCACCCATTGATTCCCCACCCCTTCCATTTTTTTGTATTGACCTTACTGTATGGAATGACTCTGTTGCTGTCTTAAATTCTATTTTTCTCTTATCCTCTCTATTTACCCATTTATTGGTATGTGATGAGATGGGTTGACACTCAGTGTGCCTGAATACAGTCACTTCTTAATCCAGTAAGTAATTTTTGATCACTTGTCATATTTCCAGGCTCTGTCTTGGGCACGCCTATTTTCATAAGCTTATATTCAACTCAGAGAGAGAGAGAGAGTAGACACATGTACAAATTAATAAGGCAATTTCAGCTAGGGATACATGCTAGAAAGAAATTGCTACTGGAATGGAGTACAAAGGCTAGAAAGGACGAGGGAACTGGCACTATTTGAACTAGTAGGGTCAGGGATTGCTTCTCTGAGCAGGTGATAGTGGGTTTCCATCCCAGTGATAAAATTGCATGGTAAATTATACTGGGCTGGGATGTTTTAAATACTAACCACCCTATTTTAAAACAGATTACTGTATATTTAATGTAAAATTAACACTACAGAAGTGTAGTGTTAGGAGTGTGGGTTTTGATCTGAGTTTGAATTTATTCTGCCACTAACTAGCTAAGAGCCCTGGAGCAAGTTACTTAACTTCTCAAAGCTTTGTTCTTCATCTACAAAAATGGGCATAGTAATAACCCTCAGACATCAACAAATAATTTACTCTGTTCCAGTTATTCTGTTAGGTGTAGGAAACTGCTTGGAGTCATGTATTCAGTATTTTTATTCTTTGTTAGACATGAAGGTCTGTGTGGTTATTCCAATTATTGCTGTATAATAATTTACACCAAAAGTCAGTGGTGTAAGGAAGTCATTTTATTCTGTTCATGATTCTGTGGGTCAGGAATGTAAACAAGACACAGTGGGGAAGGTCTGTTATTCCATTCCATGATGTCTGGGGCCTCAGCTAAGCTGGTTACTTCTCCATGTGTTCGTTCTTCAAAGGCTAGTGTGGACCTCCTCACAGTAAGACAGGTAGATTTTGAGAGTGACTGCCCCCCAAAAACAGGTGGAAATGCATAGCATTTAAAAAAAATCCTCACCCGAGGATATGTTTGTTGATTTTAGAGAAAGAGAAAGAAACATCGATCGGTTGCCTTCCACATGCAACCAACTGGAATCGAACCATAACCTAGGTACATGCCCTGACCTGGGATCAAACCTTTTTTGGTGTGCAGGGTGATGTTCCAACCAAGTGAGCTACCCGGCCAGGCCTGCGTAGCATTTTATTATCTAGCTTTACAAGTCATATAGCATTACTTTCACTGTACTCTGTCTGGGCCTGTTCAAGGGGGAGGGACATTAACCTTCCCACCCCCACAGAGGGAAATGTTGAGATCACATTTCAAGAAGAGCAATGTGGATGGGAGGTAGCCTGAAGACTATCAAGACAAGTAAGCAGGCAATTACATGACACTGTGAACAGGGGACACCCTACTAGGGTGTACTCAAGTAACTCAAGTAACTAGGAGTACCTAGGAGGTCAACTTGAAGCAGGGGGACTGTGTTGCGATGATTAAATTAAACAGCAAAAGGCTCTTAATATTGTGTTACAAATTTGGAAAGTATTTAGGTAATGCTTATTATTAGTCTTCCCAAAGAATATGTATTGTTCCTGAAAGGAATTAATATTTCAAACTTTCATATTTTTAGTAATTCTTGGGTATGGATTCTTGGGAAATAAATTATAGCCTACCCACTCCACCTCCCAAAAAAGTGTTATCTGATGCAGTTGTTCACAAAAATCTTAACGAGTAAGATTTCATCCCAGATGTGTAGGTAGCTCGGGCTCGTTCTAGAAGATGGCCTGGTGGTTTGCAAACAGGAGAGGCTGCATGTTGTCATTAAGAAGAGGAAGTGCATACCCTGGTCAGTGTAGCTCAGTTGGTTGGAGCATTGTCCCATAACCAAAAGAAGAGGAAGTGCAGTGGTGTGGTGTGCGTGAGCACTGGGTAGGAATCAGGAGGCCTGGGTTTTAATACTGGTCAGAACGTATAGCTCTGGCCAGCTCTGGTCTTCCCTGGGTACCATTTACTAAATAAGAGAGTTGGACTAGAAATGATTCCTAGGAGTTCTTCTGGCTCTAACATTCTAAAATAATTTTGTTATTCTCCATTTGCTAAAAGTTTGCACTGTATCGCCCATGGGAAGAAGTGTAATGACTAACATTTACCATACATTGATATATTCCAGGCATTGGTCTATACATTTTTCATATATTTGCTGGCTTAATCTTCATAGTAAATTTTGAGTTGGGTAATATTATTATCATCCCCATTTTACAGTTAACCTAAAATGGGGCAGAGGAGTCACACAGCTAGTAAGTGTGGGCTACGAATCCCAGAGCCAGTGCTCTTAACAAGCACACAACTCCTGCCTCTGAATGCAGAAACTCCTTTAAAGACTTAAGAGCAGAAATGAGAAAGCTCTCAGTGGGGGCAGTTCATGTGCTCTCCTCCTGAAACAGGAATGTCAGGTCTCCGGAAAAAAAATTTGGCACTGACACATGTGCAGTGTTTACATTCTGTATTGCATCCTATTCACAACAACCCCATGGAATAAATATTGTGTGAGAGCCATATTTTGCATTTGTGAAAATAGTGGCTGAACTAGAATTCCAATGCAGGTCTGTTTGACCACAGGCAGCCTTTTATTTAACCACTATGTTATTTTATCTCTCAGGTACAGTGTTCCCTATTTTAGAGGCTTGGCTGCCAGCTCTGACACTTGACCTTTTATCAGCTGGGAGGAGATAGAAATGCTCTTCTGATGTCTTTAGTTTACACTCATGAAAATAATTTTAGGGTGAAGGAAGTCTGATGTAAATGTTGGGTTTACAAATGGTCACTCCTTATTTTTCCTCTTTTTAAAAAAATTAATGTTCTTAGGGAAGGAGTTGCTGACATGGGAGCCTTCAGCTCACTTTGCAGATAACTGGCATAAATTAAGTGGCCGTGCAGGTGACACTTTAGGTAACTGGACTCTCTTCAGATGTACACGTTGGCAGGGGTGAAGGTGGGTGGGGCCGGGGAGGAGGTGATTTTAGTAACTAGATAAACACTCTACACTTTCAAGTTATTTCTGAAGGGAAACAAAAGGACCTAGATTTTCCAGATCTGAAGGCAGTGTTTTCATTCTACTTGGGTGGAGCCACATTCCTTCATCCATTTATTCATTTAGTTTTTGCTAGAGAGGCAGTAAAGTGTTGAGAGTGATTACACTCCAGACTCTGGAACTTTACCACCTGGGTTCTAATCCCAGCTCTGCCACTTATTGGCAGTGTAACCTTGAGCAAGCTATAAACTTCAACTTCCATATTTGTAAAATGGGGATAATTAGAGTTTCTACCTCGTAAATTTATTGTGAGGATTAAAGAAGTCAATACGTGTAAAAAGCACACAAAACAGTGTCTCACATGTAATAAATGCCACGTGAATGTTAGTCATTGATACTGTTATCATTATGTTGTTGTAATTATCACATAAAGTAACAACTCAAGAAGTAATGGTGGTGATTATTCCTACTATGGAAAATTCCAGTTACATTTTAATATAAATTTTCAAAGAAATTTTGTACAGGTAGTGAACTGTGTCAAATTACACCTCTACACTTACTCTTAGGAATAATGTGGTAAGGCAGTTAAGGAAGTACTCGGGTACCAGAGGAGCATGTTAACTGGGAATCAAGAAACCTAGATTCTGGTTGTAGCTTCCTTTGTAGGCTCTGCTCTTTTCTAGGCCTTTGTAATATGAGAGGATTGGGCTAACTGATCTGTTAAGTTTGCGCTGTCCAATACAAGTAGCACTAGCCACGTGTCACTCTTAAATTTTAAATTAATTAAAATTAAATGCATACAATTAAAAATTTAGCTCCTCAGTTGCATTAGCTACATTTCAAGTACTCATCAGCCACCTGTGGCTTGTGGTTACCATATTGAACAGTGCAGATATGGAACACTTCCATGATTGCCAAATGTTCTATTGAATCGTACTGCCCTAGAGATTCTCTTAGTAATAACCTGCTGTGACTGTACGTTTTGTTAGCTAGCTTCTGAGTAGCCCAAGTTTATGGAGAAACTTTATTTTACCTGATGTTAATCTGGCTTCCCTGCCTTTCTTTGGGCTGATATTGCCTGTATAAATGTTTCAATCATTTTATTTTTGACTTTTATAAGTCCTTCTGTTTTAAGTGCTCTTCTAAACATCATATAGTTTTCTTTAAAAATCTGACCATTTCTGTCTTTTAACTCTATAACTGACAA